CAATGGCCTTTGTTGGTACCAGAGCCAATGAATGTGCGAAACAGGGAATATGTTTCCCTCGACCAATATTGGTCTCAATTGAGTTCACAATGTTTGCCGCATTGTCTGCAATTACAACATTGATTTTCTCTATACCTACACCCCAATATTCACATAAGAATACCAAATTTTTACCAATATAGTCGGCAGTATGTGATTCGCTTAAGGGCTTAAGACCCAAGGTGCAACTCTTTAGTTCCAACGCTTTAGGGTAGTCCATCGTCACTCCAAGGTAGCTTTGAGTGTTGTTATCAGTCCAAATGTCAGCAGTAAGAGGGACTGAACTTAGTTAACTCAACGAGTGCTTTAACTGCATTGAGTCTTCATCATATTTATTCTTCAGACAAGTTGTTATGGTTTTTCTAGACGGGACGGAATAAAGGGGCACAGCTGTTCTCATAAGACTTCTAAAGCCTTTGTCTTCAACGAATGATAAAGGCTGTAGGTCATGTGTCACCACCATATGAATGTTCCCTGAATGAGGAAAACTGAGATTGCCGATGGATTGTTTGAAGCAAGTCGCAGGAATTTACGAAGAAATGTAGCGATTAGACCTGCAATGACCAACCTTCTAAATGCTGATGATGATAGGAATGTGAGAGAAATAAGTAGCCTAAGCATGACTATTATACTGTTAACTTATGACCTTTGAGTACTGTACTAAGTCTTACTAAGTCACAAACAACAAATTATGTTCATTTCTTAAAATTACATTTATACTGTCATACTAAAATATAAATTCATGAATTTGTTCAGGATCATCTGGGTTGCCGCCATCGCTTTAGGGAAGTCCATCGTCACTCCAAGGTAGCTTTGAGTGTTGTTATTGTCCAAATGTCAGCAGTAAGAGGGACTGAACTCAGTTGGCTCAACGAGTGCTTCAACTGCATTGAGACTTCATCATATTTTTTCTTGAGACAGGTTGTTATGGTTTTTCTTGTCGGGACGGAATAAAGGGTCACAGCCGTTCTTATAAGACCTCTAAAGCCCTTGTCTTCAAAGAATGATAAAAGGTTGTAGGTCATGTGTCACCACCATATTGTTATGGTTGTGCCAACAGTTATTTGTTGATCTCTGGAACCACCACCTACAAAAAAACAATTCTATAGTGCATTTATTGATTTTGAGTACTGTTAGAAAGGTGTCCTGTGAAACTATTGAATACTGTTAAAACTTACAACGCTGCAGCGTAGCGTAAATTTTGATGCATTCTGTATATGCAGTCATATCGCTCATACAGAAGTGCAACCAAGCTTTTAAGATAATATATTTAAAGTATAATAAATAGAGGATACACGGATTTACTTTAATATCCGCCACCGCCAGTGAATTTCATAACTTTTTAGTTGTAGGTGTGACTTAGCCTAAATTGTGATGCATTTTGACATACACAATGCCATCTTTTGACAGTAAATTAAAGTATTGATAAATTGATGGTGCTTCCTTTAATAATCTGGTTGTTAATAAACAATACTAAATTGTTCGCTTTTAGAAATAATAAATTTTGACAACGAACATTTAAACGAAGCGACACTAGTTGTTTGAATTTGAATAATTTAGTGGCTTACCTGAGAAGCTTTCCATTCTTTTTACGGAATCTGTTATAGCTGGTTGCAAAATCCATGGGCTTTTGGTCGTTTAGGCGACAGTTTCAGTTTCTGGTAGGCCCATGGTTGGCTCGTCTACATTCTAACCATTTAAATTAATAGTTTTTCCAAAGCCTCCTACATTGCATATATAGCCAAGATTTAATCTTGAATGAGTTTCACTGAAAATATAATTCAAAAGGTTATTTCAAAATAGGTTAACAATAAATTAAAGTATTTATAACTATTCTCACCTCTGCCAATAAATCCCTAAAGGTGGTCAGGAGGGAAAGAATGATATGGGTAGATTCCTTTCTGATTGCAGGAAACTTTCTAGGCTTGCTGACCCCAAAATGGCTAACTTTTATCTTTAAATCACATAAATGTTCAGAATTATCTATTTAGTTCCATAAATTTCCACACTGTTCCTTGTGCATGTACAACTCCAGCCCAGTTTGCAGGTTTTATGTTATGAACATGTTTCAAAGGTGGGAGGAGTGGGGCGTACAAAGTTCAACTCAATTCCTGATTGTGGCAGAATATTGATTTTCTATGAACTATGGAATTTCCTGAGTACCTGCAGAACTCTAGTTGCAAAAACCACGTTTAAATGCAATGATTGTGGTATCCCTCATGGCAGGAGCTCATACAATTCTACGAATATATTATTATGATCATGGCCAGTGATCATTTTAGGAAATTGTGGCAATTAATTATTAATTTAAATGGTTAGAATGTAGACGAGCCAACCATGGGCCTACCAGAAACTGAAACTGTCGCCAAAACGACCAAAAGCCCACGGATTTTGTAGCCAGTCATTAACAGATTCTGTAAAAAGAATGGAAAGCTTCTCAAGTAAACCGCTAAACCACTAAATTATTAAAACTTACCAACTGAGTTTAAAGCTTTTGCACAAAAGTAGAACTTCAAACTAACAACAAGCAGTCCAGGGCATCATCAAAGTAACGGATCTGCAGAGGCTGCTGTAAAAATAGCTAAACGTGTCTTAAGAAGACCCTTTACCTTGCACTTATTTTCTACAGGAAAACACCCCTTAAGGCCAACGGGCTTAGCCTAGCCCAAATTTTGTTTAACAGGAGGTTACGAGATAATTTACCTGTCTTACCACAGAAACTTACTGAAAGACCTGACTTGCCCAGTTTCAAGAAGAGGGAGGAAAATACAGAGATTCCAACAAAAATCAAAATGAAATCATCACGGTACCAGGGATTTACCCTTAATGCAACGAGGACAAAAGAAAAGGTGTGGATCCAAGATCTAAAACGTCTGGGTACAATAACAAACCTAGCCAATGAGACAAGATCATATTGGGTAAATACTAAAAAAATACAGTCCTCAGAAACCGATACCACTTGATTCCGTACAAAAGCCAAACCAGTCCTAAACAATCAGCAAGTATTGCTCCACTTCCTTTCTCTAAAAATAACGATCATTCTCCACAAACTTCTGTAGCATTAAACCATAACGGAGCTTACTTAAACCCCCTACCTTTTAAACCAACAACACTAATCAGAGTAATCATAAAGCCCCAAGATCAATACCAGCACAACAACTTTCAATACAAGGTTGTTTGTGAACCATAATAATCCTACTTATTCACAACCAAGTCACCAATCAAATGAAGAAGTTAGAACAAGGTTTGGAAGAACAGTGAAACCTGTGAAAATATACGAGGGCAACTAAAAGGGAGAGATGTTAAAATATTAAGCAGATGTTATAAATACCATCTGATGGACTATTTACTTGGAATTGTTTACATCCTTAATATTTTCTTTGTAACTTAATCTGAGTTAATTAATATTCTTGTGCATCAAGTCTAATTAATTCTTAATATTTAATACACGGTATTAAAACATTTAATAATCATGTTCCTGTAATATAGCCTTTGTTGTATTTGTATCAAACGCTAAAACGACATTTTCTCATGGACAAACACACCCAATATGGCTGAATCACATTAGAAGCAATTTCTTATAGAATTTGCCACATTTTAAAATGCTTAATTGAATTTTCTTATTAATAGTGTTGTATATAGTTTGATTCAAAATATAGTTTTATTATGTGTTAAAATTAAAAGTCAACCTAATTGATTGCTCAATGTTATTGGCGAATTTTGAGTCTGACAAAATGATAAATTAATCTAGCAAATTTATACCGGTAAAACAAAATTATTTATTTTGTAAAGATTTAAATATAAACGCTCCAAAGCCTCACCAATGTAAGTCAAAGTATGAAAGTATGTATTTAAATATTTAATAGGGTAATATGTGTTATTTTTAATAGTTGAAAGTGTTAACATTACAGTTAAACATCTCAGTGATTGTACATGAACCTATTTGAATATATTAGCAACTAGTGAGTCTCAACTTAAATTGAAGCAGCCTATGATATTGATTGGAGCTAATTTAGAGAGTGAATATAATTCTAGTAGTGAATGGGTCCATACAAGAAATAAACGCATTATTTTGGATAAATATTTTGAATTATAGCTCTTGGACTTAGTAATTTAACTTGTATATTAAACTCAAACTCACTTGAACAGATTATAAATATATTTAGCTCTTCACTTCTTGTCATTGTACGTAGATATCATGTTTTAGGTTAGGTTATGTGAACATTTATAGGTCTAAATGAATTAGGTTTAACATTCGTCAACTTTAATAATCTGAAGATTTATTGAGTTATTCATGTTTGGGATAATATGGTGTTCTACCAAAAAAATTAACTATGAACATAAGCTACTATCATAGACTTACCAACAGAAGTAGACATCCCATCCCATTGTAAATTTTGAAGCTCGTTTTTTGTGTCTTGTTCATGTCCGGTCACACTGATGGCTATAGTGTCGACAATGTTTTGTTTATATTCTTTTAGGGTTAATTTCATGATTTTTGCTTTACTGTTTGGTTATTTAAATAGCGGACGAATTATTGTTTATGATTTGATCGCTTTATTAGGTTAAGCGTGGATTTAAATTACTGAAATAACAAGAAACAAATTGCAAACAAATTGTCTACAGTGCACCGGGCAGAACTAACGATAAAATTGGCATCAGCTGTTCTATAAGGATGGGAAAACACACAGTTTGAGTTTACTGACTGACTCTGGACTCTGACTCTCACTCTGGTCTGATCCTGATTGATCTTGATTATAGACAAAGAAACAAAAACATAAACAATACGATATTCGATGCGATTTTAGTTAGTGGTGTATCGATACGGGCATATCGATATGCACCTCCGTATCGATACAAAATATCGATATTTCGTTGTCTTTGTATCGATATTCTTATCGATACGCACACCACTACTCCAGAGGAGAGCAGTAGCACATTAAACCGACCTAGCTTGACTTATGAGGAGGAAAGCCAGTACCGTCTCCAGTGGAGAGCAGCAGCTAGGGGACCGAGGATTCCGGGGTGAAGGTGACAGGGTGATTGAGACCGCGGACCCACACGGAACTTGTAGGACGTACGCTAGGACTGGTGCAACCTCTGCTAAACCCTGAATACGAGCCCGGAGACACTAACTGGCACTCGACTACGGACCTAGGATCAAGACTGTATATAGAATTGTAAATAGAGAACCTGTGTGAAAGGATATAGAATACTGAGTAAATGCAAGTATAAGAAATTTTGAGCCCTTTGCTTATTGACCATTATCAGCATTGTAAGGCCTAGTGTTCTAGGGGAAACTTCCTCCCTTGAAAGAGAAAGTTAAATAAAGCTATAATTAAAGGTAAGGACTCCGGAACATCACGTTTTTACTATATCCTGCTCATTCAGATAGCCTACCAAAGGGAACTTGTAGGGGTTCGAATGTTGAGTTTAATTATAATATAATATAATATAATATAAACCAGCCTTTTTAGCGAATTTCCCATATAGGGAATAAGCTATTACCGTAGTACTCATGGTAAGACCTGGACGCGGGACCGATTTGTTTTTCGTTTTGAGGTCCCTAGAGGCCAAAAACACCATCCGTTCAAATTCATATATACATATACATATATATGTCCGTTAGCACGATAACTCGAGCAAAAATGACCAGATTTTGATGAAATTTAGTATAAACGTGTAAACCTACATTTATTCGAACGAGTTCGCGAACCAGCATGATCGGACTACGGGAACGGGGGTTTATGGGGGGTTTTAAGGCTTAAAATAGGTTTTTCCCATTATTGACCAAAAAAATTTAAAATTTAGAAATTTCTTTCCAAACCATTTTAAGCTTAAAGCTTAGAGCTTAAAAAAACAAATTTTTTAGTATATTGAAGCGTTATTTTGCGCCTAATGGTTACGGAGAAAATTTAAAAAAAATTTTTAATATAAAATTCCCATGTTATTCTTATGGAGAAAAAGTTTTGAACTTTTGTAGTTTGCTTTTTTATGAACATATTTCGATCAAATTTTGAAAATGTTTTTATTTTTTACTAAGTATTAACAGTTTTACCCTCCCTGATGCAGCAAACCTAAGTACTTGTTAAACTAATTCTATTTAAATAGGAAATAAATGTTATATTTTTAAGTATAAATTTTAGTGTAAATCGAATCAGGCATATGGAAATTCGCTTTGTCTGCAGGTTTGCTGCGGCGGGAGTATTTTTTGTTTTCGTTGGTCTAGCGTCTTAGATTAATATAGACTGGAAAGCTATACGGTGTAGCCTATATTTAAAATTACGTAAGTTTACTTATAAAAGAGAAGAATATTCGTTCTTTACTCTAGATATGAACCCTCACAAAGTTTCCTAATATCAGGTTGGCTTGGAATATTGGTCCTGGTAAACCTGACAGCATAACGCTCATTCAATGAATTTCTTTCATCATAAAAATTCGTACTCTGAAATGTGGACATTTTAATATATAAATACTAAAATATGTGACCCATAATGAGTACAAAGGCAATCTGTACTTTAAATAGTTTCTGTTTAAATTTGTTTTTAAGCTCCTAAATTTTACTTATCTGAAGTTAACTCTTGTTTATCGTTTAGTGAAAAAATCTAAATTCAATGTCTAAAATAGTTTTGCAAAACTATGCTACTTTTATAATATTTATGGAAATATTACATTAATAGGTTAAAGGTAGGTAACGAAATTTAGTTAGTTGAAGTTCTATGGTAAAAATATTGAAGAGTGATTTATGATTATGAATGCTAGAATCATCTGAGTTAACAAAACTACCATTAGGAATGTTACTTGAATCTACAATCATCTTTCACACATAATCTCCTCAAGACTGTGTCGCTATATTAATTTAAAAATAAAGCTAATGGTTATAACTACTATAGAGATTATAGCTATTCTACAAGAGAAGGTTTTGTAAAATCAGTTTCTTATTAGTTTAGTGCACACTCTCTTCGTCATATATTAGTTAATGTTTGTCAAACCGACAATATTTATAATGGCCATGATTGGCATAGTCCTCTGATTAAATTAGGTAGTAACCGATATTTACATGCTGTTTTGATAGTAAACGTTATCATCAAGTATATTTTTAGTATGTTATAATCCTTGCACGAAGGTATCTTAAATATATTTCAGCGATTTTGTGATAATTTATGGATGCACGCTGCAGTAATATTGAATGATAAATATATTGATTTCTAAGGTTTTATGTATCATATGTATCATGTATCGTGATTTTTAAGGTTTTTTTATAATTAGACTACTGTATATTTATCGACAAATTTAAATGTCTTATTTATCTATTATTTTTGTTCAAACATCTCGATATATCTACGAAATTGGCTGATGTAATTGTCTGCGTGAATTTAAATCCAGATTTCCTATGCCAAAGATTAGTTGTTTGATATAAAACTAGAATTTTAAAAGTGATAGGAATAATAACAAGAAAAATAGAAACTTCAAAACATCACTTATCTAAATAAGTTTAATCTTGCTATTTTTTATGTGTAAATTAAATTGATTGTAGGCTATAGACAATAGAAACTCTGAATATAACTTGATATATACAACAGATATTTTATCGTATTTACGGGGTTTAGAGGTGTACGTTTAGGTCCATGTTATGTCGTCGTTTTCTCTGCCACAACACGGTTGTTAGCGTCAAGCCCTGAAGTGTCACACAGCTGTCCAGTATGTTTACATGGTTTCTTTACTTAACTCACCTCTTATTGAAAGACGATAAACTGAAACTCTTATTGAAAAGAGAACGGGTTTCTTTTCATTCGTGTAAAAAACTGGACACGAGTGCAAATCTATTTAATGCTCTTGGAAATAGTTTTAGATTATGGAATGACTCTAAAATCACTTGTTGGATTACCCTACTATGCAAACCTACTATGGTCCTACTATGGTTTGTATTTTCATCGTTAATAATATTATACATTTGTAACTTAATATATCCTAATTATAAATAACCTATTATGTACAATAATATGTGTATATATTGGGTTATACAATTTTTGATATGCCTACTCTTATACTGTAAACACATAAAATAAGATGTTTCATTGGTGATTGGGCAAAATTGGAGGATAAGATTAATTTATGGATAATGTTAGCTTAACATAAGGTAAATGATATTACGAAACTGTTATATGTAGTTTTTTTGACACGAAGCTGTCATGGATTCGTTATAAAGGTTTGGATGAATTAATATTTGCATCACTTCGTACGTAAATTAATTATTTTATATTACAGCTGTTATCAAAGAAAATATTTAATATAGAGCAAATTAAATACAATCCGCTTACCCATAAAAAAGCAACTCGCTCTTAATTTACTTTCCCTTGCTTGCTGTCCATCAGTTTTCCATTTGAACATTACGCACACTAGTACTACTTCACGATTTATTTTTATGAATTAGTTCAACTGTTTTTACTGTTCAAAAATCTAAATGTAAATAGAGATATGCATAAGATATCTTTGCTGTGGGTGCATTTTGGCTTTGCCTCACTCATGACAGTTGAGGGCGCACCGGAAAATGGCACTTTCGGAACTCGTTATGAAATTTACTATTTTTTTTCATTCGAGACATACGACACAGTTATAAAAACGTATATCCAAACTACACGTTTGGAAAGACGACGACCAAATGACAAATGCTACTGTTAAAGGTAGCTTACAAGAAGTATTTATTTTATCAGTAAATAATGATGGAGGGATTTGTAGTTTTTGTTTGACAAGTTTTCTTCATATTATCAACAAGATAAAAGTAATTAGCCTATTTTAGTTTCCCTGCATATTACTGATGTATTTTAAATTCAATTAACGTACGTTGCAACCCTCTTATCATATCTAAAACTTTACTAATAAGTGTTACTTATATAAATATATTTTCTACTGAGAACCTATAAAGTTAGAACCAGTTATATAATCAGCCTCATAACTGTTTATACACTATTCGATCAATTTTCAGTTGGTGGTTGGTTAAGAACGATATAACCGATAAACATAACTCACAAACCTTACAGAATGCCCAAGTATCGATATCAATTACTAAAGGTACACAAAACAGGAACAACATCGTAAATATGTATGAGAGCTAAGTTTAAGTGGAAAGTTATGTCCACGGGTTGCTGCCATTCACCTGTTCAACTGCTTCAATGGCGTTGACTGATTTTGTAAATATTGCAGTGGAAAGACTGTAAGTCATCTATTTCTTTTAGCCTGTTATGCCTCTTTTTATTTCTTCTAAGCAAAACAGTTGGTTTTGGTGTTGGGTTTTCCAACGTAGCAAGTGCAAAATAATATTTAGGGTACAATTATTAATTCCTTAAGCAATTTCAAAACGTGTTGATGGTAAAATATCCTACGAAACTATATTAATTACCTACTTTGTTGAGCTTAACTAAATCAGTTTCAGGTTGTGTCAAGTTTATTATTTTCCAATGTTAATCTCTAACTATTAAGAAAAATATGCACAATAATATGTTAGAAACGAGGCATATAAAAAAAACCTAACCAGTTCATATTTTCAATGTCATTAATTAATCTACGAATGAAATTGGATATTGACCAATATATGACCTGATTATTTAATTACAAATTGGCACATGCAATTTAATCAAGCCTGATAAAAAAAATTGAATTTAAAATTTAGAATGGTGAGCTTTAGTCAATGAGAACTCTTGTTAGACATGTTTTATATGTACTATCAATGTTCATATATTATGAAGCTAACCGTACGTTATTGTGCCTAATATCTAAACTTGGTACGAGTAAACTTACTTAGGTTTGTGCTTTCAGCTTCTCTTCAACTACTAGTACATCGTGCACTGGTATGTTCTGGGGCTTGGACTATTATGAAGTTTCAAAGCACACACAGTTTATGCCTTCTTTTTTTAACTCAAGTTTTATTCAAATGGAGAAATTTTGTCTACAAACCTAATGTACTTGTTTTTGCTTTGCAACCAGATTAAAATTATTTTAATTAAAATTTGCATATATCAAGATTATAATAGATAATAATTTAGGTTTTGTTAAGAGCTTAATTACTAATT